ATTCAAGTGTTTACTAAGCGTATTTGCAAATCGCCAAACAAAGAATGAAAGTTTACATGCATTCTATTCAAAAAAGCTTATCCAACTCCAAATACAAACAATCACCTTATTTCCATAGAAATGATTCAGTCATTACACTCCATTATCCAAGATAAAGCAGCATATTACATTGAATTACCTCATAATTATATCCCATTTACTGCACTTGTAAATAACTATGCCAACCTCAGATCCTCTTAAGGTAATACCTTTTTGGGTAGATCCTTAAGTTAAGAAGATCCATCATTATTATTCAAAAGTTTCCTAGAAATAGGGATCAAGCCTATAGAAAGTTTTAATTGAAATCTCCTTACAGACATTAGAGAAGATTATTAAAGAAATGCTTATTTCTCTAGCCACCATCCCATACTCAAGGTCAAAAATCACTGATCCCAGGATATCAACAATTAACAATAAAATATGCATCATCTTGTTTATACACATGTGCAACTTTCCAAACAACTTATTGTTGTGGAATAATGAATAATAACAAAAGGTAGTTAATCAGCTTACTACCGACACACAAGTTGTATAAAAACACAATAGCTGTAGCTGTATGAGAAATTGAAACAATTAACATCTGCATTTGACCTTTGATCACCTTGAGATCAGGCGATGAGCAAAACGAGAAAAAGCAGTACCTATGGTGCCTCACAATCTGGACATTACATTTCAGTATTCAGACTTACAATTTGCAAATGAAAGGAAGATGAAACTTATGACACTAGAGGTAAACTACAAACTATATGCCTATGGGAATCTATGACACTAATCACATCATATAAATAAAAACCTTAAATATTCAGAAATCCAAGCTTATAAACACCTGATAATCCAAAGGGGCATCTACAGAGCAATTATGTTCTAATAAATACTATTTGAACCTTATAGACTACTAGCATGATGACTGTTCTTGATAATTCAATTTATAGGAATATAAAAATATGTTCCTAGATCTGCTACTGTTATGAACTTTACAATAATCTATTTGACACTTAGTATCTAAATTATCTTCTGTGAAAGCTCAGAATTCCGATTAAGTCTAAATACATTTTCATGTTGTTGCCACTATTAATTTGTGAAGTTGACACAAAGTGCATCCATTTATCGATCACTTCTAAGGAAACGACGGATCTGTTATAAATCGTTAATCCGCTTGAAATTCCGAGAGTCGCCATGAATATGCAATGATTCTGCTAACTACTGCGTGTTACACAATAAATTTTGAAACGCAAACCCGTTTGATTGATGAAAATGGCGGCGTACCAACTTATTCACGGGTGACCTGAATTCAGCTTTTATTAAATCAACACCCGACATTTCAGCGATAAAGGTTTAAAAAAACCTGCACACATGCACTTATAATTACCACCGCCTTCATTTATTCCTTATTGGGCTCATTTAAAATTATAATAAGTACATAAATTACTGACAATTAACGATATATTTAACGACTTCGAATAAACTGTTTAGCAACAGAGAAAGTCGATAGAAAATGGAACCGTTCACGCTACGATACGTTCTCATAAAAAGTTACGCACTCCTTTGTCTTCTGTTTGAACTCGCTCTTATCTACTTTTATTTCAAAGTTTATCTCGAGTCAATGGGTATATGTTAATAAAACACGAAGCTACGTGACCTGTTTGACCTTCCTTTATCGATAATGTATTGCTCTTGTTAGACAAAAATGCTGTTTTGAACATAATAATCTCAACGGAATCGCTATATTGACCCGATTCTTGATATGGCAAACTTTCAAAGATCATCGTTCAGAATTCTACCTTGAACGTCACCAAATATGATTGCGCTATCGAGCACTTTTATCGATATTTTCTACGCTGTACATTCATTTTGAGAATCTCAACAGGTACTTGTTTAGAGCCTTTATTTACATAGCTTATCGCAATTTTAATGCGGTACTCATTATTCACTATTTCAACAGACCTGGGTATTTTGACACAGTTCGCTTATCAAACCTGACAGGTAGTTGGAAAAATTCAGAGCTATAAATAGCTTAAAAGCATTTTGCGTGTATCCTGATATAAAATAACGGCTACAAGCTCGTTCGTCGAGCATACAATCGATATTAACAGTCGATCCACCCACGTGTATAATAAAGACCGTTTAAGTTGTCAGCCACGCCAAGCCCTAGTCAAAACCTGATCCAGCGTCACACTCACACAAAAGAACTCATCCAAAGTCCATTGATAGGCATTAATCGCTTTTACACGAGTCGCCCCGCTACGAACAATGGCCGATCCGATTTCGATGGCGTGGTCAAAGTGTATATCCCACGTAGCTGCACTCGAACACAAGCATATGGTTAGAAAATAGGACGCAGGTATATCCGCACTTTCACACAAGCACCGAACACTACTGGTAATCCACATAGAAGGAGACACTTACCAAAGCCACATAGAGCACTTAAGAGTAGAAAGTTTATCCGCACCGATCACGGAGCTCCAAATAAAATGATACAGTAAAAATGTCCTTGAAACGAAACTAACTCGCGCAGCGTGTCCGCACTCGTCAAGTTCTCACAAAAGACTAACTTTTGTCGGGCGGCTGGAGGCGTAGCGACGTTAGCCGATCGCGCACGAACGGCATACGAAAGACGGTTGAAAGCGAGCACCGACGAGCAACAAGTTGACGGATATTTTCCACGCAGAGAGATAGATACGGTATATTTTAACTTTGAATAATGTGTCGATGTTGAAGAACCAGTTTTGTAACTTTTTAAGGAATTCTAATTTGCCATGCAAAAAACGTGGTTCACCGTTTCAGAGCTGGACAAGCGACCGATTCTGTTCGATTTAGCCACAGTATCAATGGGTAATGAGAACGACTGGTTACTACATTTTTTGTAAAGGATCAAGAACGCAGGGAAGAAAAAATCAGATATCCAGCAGGTGCATACTTAGAAGGGGCATTTCGGGCATGTTGGATATGTGTATGTATAATTGGTAGGTACCTAATGATGAAATAGTAATAGTTTTTTTACACCAAAGCAGCAGCGCAGTCAGAAGAATCATAAATACCAGGACACCGCGGCTCCTTTGAGGATCCCAAAGGAATTTTGTTAATCCGATTTTTAGATTTGGGAAAGCTTCCTCTTATATATTGTTCCACAATCTCGACACCCTCGGATGTAGGAGGTTCGACACGGTTAGGATAGGAGGCCGAAGTCAGGCGCGTCTGCCTTGCAGGCACATCGCGCAAGTTGTGGGAGGAAGAGACGAACTCGTTAAATTACAAAGGATATCTTGCTGCCAGAAAGTCAGCCACCCCCTGCAAAGCTTCTCTGGGAGTTCATAAAATTGAAGTTTGTTGATGCCGAGCGATAAGAGCCACCCGTCTTACAGTTTGATGCCTGAATGTTACGTTCTGCATAGTGGCCTTTGAATCGATCTGGAACGATACTATAAGTTCGAAAATATCGAGCAAAGTACGTCTTGGAAGGCATTACAATTACCTCTGTGACACACAATCTAACAAAAGTCTCAGTACTTTGAAGTTATGGACTTGAAGGCAAATAATAAAATGACTCATCTGAACGCATTAAAATTGCATACAAGATTTGAAAGTAGCAACAAGATGTAGCTCTGGATTCTGAGGAATACCGAGACGGTTATGAACCATGATGGTATGAATTGGAAGGTAAAGGAGAAATGACTTTCTAAAGGCATTAAAATTGTCTGAAGTGTCTCTAACGCATTATGTTGAACAAATAAAAAGAATGGTGTTGAAGAGCTTGAAACTATGGATATGAAGACATTAAAATATACCATATGAGACTTGCAAGTAAAGAAACGTAGATCCGAGTTATTAAAACATGTTAAAAGCGGTTATGGAGCTTGTTGCTATAAATTTGTAAATGTTTAGGAGAATCTCACACTTCGGACAGAAAAGGCTTACATAAGACATCTGTCGCGCTTTTATGCCAGAGAGTGGATATAAAAGCTTCTCCCTGTCAAAAAAAACGTCTTTCCTTATACAATACAGCATGTTGTGAAACCTAAGGCCCCCGCTCCAAGGCGGATCCATTCCTCCTCCTCTAAGCGAATCGGACCACTAATATACCACTTCCGCTATTCAAATTGTCGCAACGGCATTCGCTCTGAAAAGCACTGATGACGGACATCTTCGTGAACATCAAATTTGAAGATTTTTCGAAAACTTTTCTGCATTAGCCAATGCGTTCATAAGAGACTTGGTAATATCAGTTATTCAATTTAGATTTCAAAAGTCATCTATGTGGTTATTTTAACTTGTGCGATACTGGTTCAATCGAATCGTTTGCATCATACCTTATATACACAATAAACATGATAGTGAGAAAATTGTATGTTTTCGAACCCGTTTACATACCCTGAATAATACCCTCGTGATTAACAATACCATAAAGATAGTGAAACACGGTTGATACCGATCTCCTTGCATGTATATTTAAACAAGATTTAGTTGTGATGAATATACGACAAAGCTATTAACGCTGCTAGTAGAATAACGATTGAGATGTTTGACCTTGGTTTGTCCTCTGAGCTCGAGTACACGTAGGTAGGTACTTTCTCGCCGCGGAAAATTATTATTCTGGTGTATAGGCGTTGTAACAATGATTAGTGTTCACTGTTAATAATACTCCATTATATTCTCCGCATATGAAATATGCTAAATTCTGAATCACAATCGGTTTATTGACATGGGACTCGGCGTGTTCGATTCGGATGGTTTTTCTCAAGGCCGGAAAAGGTGATGTTATGCAATTCCTATCACGGACTTTGGTGAAATGTATGTTTTGATCTTATCGCTTCCTTGCGACCAGGTACAAAGGATATCTGGCCACTAAGGTCACCAGATCTGAACCCAATCGAAAGGAGTAGCGCGTTATATATCTTTGGAGATGGTAGGTACATTTTGTCGTGAGTTTGCACTTTGCAATCCTGTTCGTTGCAGTGACTGACCACGAAGGTCACCAGATCTGAACTCAATTGAAAGGAGTAGCGCATTATATATCTTTGGAGATGGTAGGTACATTTTGTCGTGAGTTTGCACTTTGCAATCCTGTTCGTTGCAATGACTGACCACGAAGGTCACCAGATCTGAACTCAATTGAAAGGAATATTTATAGCGCACGATTTAACTGAGTCACCGACGAATTTGGCTGGAACAAAATGACGCGAAAAAGCGTCTGCTATTCGTTTCAGACCTCTGGAAACACCAGATTTATCTTACTCTGAATTGTTTATTGGATGTTAACAGCCATATGGGAACGCGGCCAACTAGCCAAAATAACTTGGCGCATTTTCATTACATCTCTCAACTTGTTTTATTTCTGTGTTTCGTTATTCCGAATGTTTTGCGGAAAAAGTGTTGAGCCTTTCTGGCCATGTGGTGCTTGGTCAGGGCTGTAGTTGGACTAAAACAGACAAAGAAGAGGAGAAGGATATGTTTTGGGCCTCGGCGTTTCTTATAAGTGGTAAAGAGTAAGTCTTGAACCAATTAAAATTAGCAGGTTCAGAGTAGCATTATAGGTCTCTAAATCAATAACCTTGGAACAAAGAGGCAGCCTTATTGAACATTATATGGACGATAGAGCATGACGAAGATAGGGTAGGAAGAAGCAGAAACCTGGATTATCTCCTTGAAACGAGATCTGAGATAATCTAAGGGAATTCGAGATGATCCAAAAAGATCAGAGTTACAAAGGGAACTGATTTTTCAGTATATCTTAGGAGTTTATCCATCGCAGATGCAAGGGGATTAAAAGAAATCTTAGGAATGCTGAGGCCAAAACAAGGGCGGATTTAGAAATCTGTCTAGAGGGAGGAGTGGTCAGAGTTGTTGTGGTAGTAAGATTCATGTTTAGGAAAATGGTCATATCGAGAAGGGGGGGGGTTGTATCGGCGACTGATCATCGAAGAGCGGGGGGGGAGGGGAGTGCATGTATAAGTAGCGCGTCTGAGAGCAAATAGATAACTTTCTCACCAAGATACAGCGACATGTACCATTTTATTGAAGACAAAAGTTATAATTTTGAACATCTAGGGTGTCACACTCTGAATCCGTAAATGGCCCAATGATTCCCAGGGAGATCTGAAAAAATTGCGAGGAGGAGGGCTTTTATTGTAAAAGTGTTAGTGGTTATCTCTTAGAGAATGGAGTCTACCAAGAGTTACACATTTTCTGCAGCATTTGTCTTTGTGGGCAAAAAGTTTACTCACACCGTCGTTTTATGCCGTTTACACATTCATTTTTCGTTGGCATTCACAAAGTTGATAGTTTAACCGATTGATTGGCTTCCAGTATTTATCTCGCTCTTTTCACACCGCGCAAAAATAAGCGAATAGCGCCATCCCACACAGTTACAGTGTAATTTTAGAACATCGATTCGTCTGTATATCGATTGGGGAAACAAACAAACGTGGAAGAGTAAATATTGTCCCTCGCGGCTGTGCTGGCGGAACGTTTGTTTTTCTAATTTTAAAATAACTGATCGGCCGATCCAGCTCTGGATTCCACACAGGATCGTAATCATCAAGGACGAATGAAGAGGCTATTTTCTTTTGTATGCAAACATTCAAAACGAAAATGACCTTCCTGGAAAAGAAAATTGCGCTGTGCCGCTCATTCTTGGTTCAGCAGCCGTCAGATGTGGCAGGTCCCACGATAGATCCCGCCAAATGTATGCAGAAAGCGAGTTATAGAACGAATGTCGCACTTGGCGGGATCAAAAATGGGAAGCTCCACGTTGAACGGCTGCTGAGCCAAGAATGAGCGATGCTGCGAAGCACGGCCGGGAGAAATCGACAGTGGGGGAAAAGCCGCGCGCAGCGGTGTTGCCGGATTTCGTCACGCACCCTTCAGTGTGGCTGGTTCATAGCCAATAAGTATTTTTTTTATGGAATAAGAGTTTATTGTCATTGTGAGATTGATGCCATTGCTCTTTCAGATTCCAGAGATTCTATGGCTCGGTGGTTGTGAGCACTAATCAGTACAAAAGTCGAGGTAGCTTCTATATACAAAAATGGCGTCAAGTAGGTTGACTCTGCCCTTATGGCCTAGCTACAAAGTACAACAAGCCACGATACTATAACACGAGATCGAGAGCGCCGTCGACGCAGTCAAATACATAGAGAGTCAGGTGCATGAAAGTTGCCATCGTTCCGACCGACCGCGTGTCTTGATGCAAATATTTCATCACAAATGTACAGGAAATCTAGCATGAGTGAAATATATATATATATATATATATATATATATATATATATAAATGTACTGGCACCAAAAAATAAGATATACCCTTCCCCACCCCCTACAACCAACAATCCTCGATGTTTGACTCTTACGATTTTTTTTAAATCATCACGAGCATCTGAAACGTGAAAAAACGAAGTTTAGCGATTTCTTTTGTTTCGTTTTTTGCCCTTCACGCCGCCGCCACTGGACAGATTTTCAAAAACTACAATGCGTTTTCGTCCTTGGCATGGTAGTTACCTCGTGTGAAAATTTCGTCAAAAAACCTAGCGGTACTTTCCGAAATATAGACAAGCCAAGGATCAGCGACTTTAATAAAACAATACTTCCTTGCCAGTCGCTGTGGGTAAGTAAAACACGTTCAGAAATACAAATAGTAAAGGTCTTTTCGGCAACTAATAAACCATCGAGCAATATCTCTCCCAAAACCCGATTTAAAATAAGGCACTAATCCATTACCTAACGTATCTTTCACAAGATTATCATTATCGTTCCCTCTTTGTTATTCACCACACTAGAAGGCCACCTCGCCGTCAGAAGAATACCGAGAATCACAGCTCGGCTCCGTCTCGGATTTCCTAGCCTTCTTGATAGTCGCTCTCTACCTGCGTTAGTCGAAGGTCAACTCAATGTCAAACGAAGTAAACGAACTGTTTAGGCACCTGTTTAAATGCGAGCGGACCCCTCTTCCACCACTCGGCACTGATGGAATCAGGATACACATACGGAGGGTGGTTCTGACTATAAGTGGTGTCTTGGAATTTGAAAGGAATAAGAAAGAATTTTGTTACGGATTTGATCATAGGATAATAGTAATAATAAACGTCTTTTTATTCGAGCGAAGTTAGCTTAAGCAATGCTTTAACTTAACCCATACAAAAATAAATACAAATATGAATAAAATAATAGATGACGATAAGACTGTCAGATGGTACTACTATCAAAATTAATGAAGCAGTCAAAAACTTGGGAATTCTTTTTGAGTTCATACCTCATGTAAACAAAGATACTGAAAGCTGCTTTTCGATCATACGTCAGTTATATCTGATTCTCGATTATCAAACAAAAATCTTATGCGAATCATTAATTATGCCCGAAATTACTCACTGTGCAATCTATTTTTAGATACAATTTCTTTTACGTTTAAAAAAAAATAAAATTCATGTTGCGGATTAATAAATAATCTGAGAAAATATGACCATATAAGCGGCTCTTCTTAATGGTTGTGAGGGTGAGTTACACCTATCAACAGGAATAAGCTTTTGCTTTTTATTGGGCTATTTGAATCAAACACTTGTGAGGCAAAATCTACAGATGAATATACGGCAATTGTAGTAAGACTTTGAGGGTCTATCGCTACGCAGGAAATACTTCCTTCCGATATGAAAAAAATATTCCGAAGACGTCACTCAAATTAGAATTACGTGACTGGACATGAACAGTAGAAAAAAGCTCTCTCACAGAATACTTGATGCTATTTTTATATGACGCAATATTAAAATCAACCGGCTTTTTCCATGAACCACCTAGCTTCGCTAACATTTATTAATTAAAATGGGTGGGAGACCCATTGTAGTCTAGAAGCAATGACAACCGGTAGCAGAAAAAAAGCTTAATATCCAAAGAGTCACGTTCTCGAGTACAAAAACCCACCGTCGAGAGCGTCGAGTCGAGGTTATCTTCATTCTCCCAGCTTCAGAATAAATACAGGGTGTACAAATTAAACGAAATACTGCCTTTCTTTTCCTTTCGACTCTTACTGACAAAAATTCACTTTTCTGATAACATATATTAATGCCATTTTGCATAAGTGTGATTGATTTCACTGAGGCAGCGTTGAATTTTCTCCTTCAATGCACGAATCTTTTTGACGCAGACCTTTGACTTCAAATAACCTCATAAACAGAAATCCGGTGGTGTAAAATTACTTAATTTATGGCGTAACGTCTGACCACCGAAAGCAAACAACAGCCTACCGGGAAACATCCTATGCAGCAGAATATATCTTCAGCCTAAGTGACAAACACACATCGGAGACGTCCTAGAGTTGGAGAGGAAGCCGTATTTTGAGCACGTCTCATAACAGCCTACTTCTTAAGTTCATATTTATGGGAAATTTCTATAAAATTCGAATCGCAGCTTCTTTAGACAAAACAGTGAGAAGATTTCTTACAAAATGTGACGATAGAAAAAGTTATAAGCACCTAACATGCAAAATATTTTAAACATTCGTTCGAACTGTGGATTTAGAGCGTAAATCACAGAAATATTACCCAGATTGACGCGAAATTATATGAAACACGATACTAATCACCTAATAGCTTTTTGTCCATTTTTATAATACGGGCTGCATTTTTTACAGACAGCTAGATAGATACACACTTTAAAGGGCTGAAAACAATAAACAATATTTCATCCTCGTCAGATCCTTCAAATTCAAAAGAATTCTAGGATCTACAGTCACTCGAGATGCAAGGTAAAATAATGATAAGTTTTATTGCTCTTGACACATTTTTTTCAGTGCTTGATCTTTTTGGTGCGTTGTGAAAGATTAATGTGATTTTATTTCGTGATCGGCATACCGATATATAGCAATATTCCCCGAAACTTTCAGGTTCCACAATGAACCCGTGGCCATTTTTAAATTAATTTTCTTATTTCTTATTATACACTAGTTCAAACGCTGCCTGCATGGTGGCGCCCTAGTAGTTGCCTCTCGTCAAGTAGAATTGTTTCACCATGCCATAGCACACCATGTTGCTGAAACCACACGTTATACTCACACCGATGTTATTCGGTTTGGCCAAAAAAAAAACACATACAAAAACGCTACAATCCAACGAAATCCATCCACATTTACGCAAAAAGGTAAATAAAAATTTAGATAAAAAGTGCAAAGCCGTACTATGAGTCAATGATTTTAAAAACAATCTTAATTAATCTTAAAACCAATAATCATACATTTATTAATAACGACCAAAAAATTAAACACAATCATCACATAATCTATAATACAACGATCATACCTTCAAATCCAAAATTCTATGTAAATTTACCTGACACGATATAAAAAATCATTTCATGAAAAGTTTTAAAGAATGGATGTTTTCTCTGGCAAGACCAGACGTACAGAAATTAATAGTAAATGTGAACATCAAATAATTGTTGATTAGTAGTACCTCTATTCATATTTCAATAATATGTAAATACAATTGCAACATTAATGGATTATATACAGGCAATACCTCCTATCGGCCGTTAGTTCATATTTATTTACTCATTCTTTATATTGTGTTTTAGGAGTAAATAAATATATTATTAAAAATATAAAGAAATAATCCAATGAAAAACTGTGTTTTCTATCTAATTCAAATCTTGCACGCATTTTGGGATACCCTGTATTTTACACAGATCATCGCTCATTCCCAACAGTTTCCTATCGTTTGATTTTCGTAATTATTTCATTTATTTTAGTCAAGATAACATTGTATTTGGAATTGCGAAGCGGATAGAGCAAACTGAAACGACCTTGCTCACATGGTGCACTCATACAATGTGAGCATTTTGTTTTCACATGAGATTTATTAGCTTTACCATGCGTTTTCATGATTGTTGCTCGCTATTATTTATATCCAACTAGCAAAACAATTCCTTTATAGAACTATAATTCAACACTGGCTGTTCTGTGATGCAAATTCACAACGAGAACGTTACTAGATTGTCATTTGGCACTTGTGAGTACCTTCGGCAGCAACAATATAAATGTGAGACACAGTGAGAACACCGAAAACATTTATACAAGTTTTCTTTTTTGGGTCGCTGAGCATTTGAAGGTAACTTCAAGGTCATATCAAGGTCATATCAAGGACATATTCAAAAGAAGCCGGGCAGTTAAGCTCAACCGTGTGTCGTTCCAAGTTTTTCAGCTTTTCTAGTTATTAAGCTCGAATCGGAGGCCAATTAGTCACTATGAGGGCATTTGGAGGTCTTTTCAAGGTCGATTCAAGGAGAAATTTACGATAAGTCTAGCACTCTAGTTTTAAAGTCCAAATCAGATATTACTTTGTTTCTAGGAAGGCATTTGAAGGGAATTTTAAAGCCACTTAAAGGATAAATTAAAAAAATATATGAATATTCTATAGAAATTATTAAATCAGTTATCTGACAAATACTAAAAATTAAGAAACAAAATAAATACATTTTTGAAAACAAGCTTTCATTCAGCTGTTATTAAAATGAAGTAAACATTTGAAAGACATTGTTTTCGATCGGAAATATTTAAACAATAATGAAGCTAGTTCACCTCAAGTTTTTAAATAAAAGCTAGTACACCCTTCTCCACCCTGCTGCCAAAGGATTATCGTTTAAAATGTTTCCAATCTTAAAAAATTAATTTTAAATTTTTAGTTCGCTTAACAGCTAAATAAAAACGTGATTCTATAAATGCGCTTTGTTAACATTCCACTTCACAAATGCTATTTTGTATCTTTTCCCCCCATTATAATTTTCTCCTAAAAGAGCAAAATTATGTAAAAAACGAACCTTGACTCATTCAAAGCAAGAATCCCATTAAATATGAACGAGAGAACACAAAACGTGGTTTGCCTGTTCGGGGTTCGCGTGCAAGCGGCACATGATTATTACCGTGCTTTGAAAAGTTCCCCAAACTTTCCAACTGCATTATTACTGAATTGCCTGCGCCAAACAACTTAGCAATTCCTTCTCTTTTTTCTTGTTGTTGCTTAGGCTACTCGGCCAACATGCTATGCATATTAGCACCTGCATAGATAATATCTTCAACTACATATAACATAATAGCGCAGGACGTAGACGCCCTATATAGTTTCCTTTTGCCTTGAACACTAATGTAATGATATGAACATTTACTCATGTTCACGCACATTAAGCCCACAAAAGCACCTGTGCAAGAACATGTATACAGGTTCAGCAGATAATCATTGCGCGAGCAGCGTGCAATACGTGTGTTAGAAAGAGATAAAAGCAACTCGTTGCCGAGCAACCCGAGCGACGAGGTCACGGACGCCATCGGCTCACTCTTTCTAATATACATATTGGACCCTTCTCTCTCGTACACATCACGACTCAACCCAAATTTGAACCTCACCTAATACTTGACCAAAGGGTAGTATATCAAGAGATGTAACCAAAGCTTTGATCGGCTTTTGGACTATTATTGATTTACAAATAAAAACAGCGATCTATGTGCGGGCCATCCTTCGCTAAGGAAACGGTGTTGCCAAGCTGTCATAAAATATTTAAACAATGCTCTTTTCACAGTCTTTGGTGATTATGTCAAAAGTCAACTCGCGGCCATGTCGAATAAACCGCCGATTGGTCAAATAAACAATTAGAGGTTAGAACACTTTTGTGTACTCATTTTATTACTAAATTGAGTCGTTTTTCATCGGCGTAAGGCCCTAAAAGTTGAATAGCTATATGATAACCTACACGTTTTGAGAGTAGCGCTAAAAGTGTGTTCACTACAAGCGATGGTTAATGAATTTATTCGAAAAGGATTATTTATATGACAGCGATGCATTTATTTCCGACTAAATGCCATGTTTAAATGCCATCAGCTGTTTTGTGGATGCCATGTTTTTGGAGCCACCTCTTATCTCTCTCTAATTTAATTCGACTTGTCTAACTGCCTTCTCATTATATAACTTCACTTTGACTTGACCGCAAAGCCGATTTTGTAGAATACGGAATTGTAAAACATACCAAAGTACTTAGATAAAATAAAAATATCATAATAGAAGAGTCTGCTGGCAGTAACATGGTAACCCAGTCAGTGTTTCACGATCAATTGCTCCATCCATAATATTGACCTTGAGAGAAGTACTTTACAAGTAAATACATTAATAATAATTTATTAAACACGTGAATATGCATAATAAATGTTGACACAAGCGCACACCATCGTCGACCATGAGTTCCTTGCTTATACCAACAACAAAATCGTTTGTTTTGGTTTTATAGACCGTTATGTGAATAACCGACCTCCAGCATCCGAAGTGGCAGGATAATCCGCGCCCACACAAACTGATGCACCGCGCCAAAGAAAGTACACATGAGATGTTTCAAAGTGTATAGGAGGCCTTGGAAGCCTGCCAAACCAGTCGCAGAACGACCGGCAATTATTTTTGGTTAGTCAGCTATTAGCTTGTCCATACACACTGGCGATATTTCTTCTTGATTTCCTTTGCACCGTTTCGGAGTGTTACGAAACGGAGGTCATACAACACCTACACGCAAATCGTTTCTTTTCCACGTTTAAAATTTGTTAGACGCAAATTGATATTCTCAAAGGTCATGTTAGGTTAGTTCTTCGCTCGAAAAGTTGATGGCTGTTATGAAAATTTATGTTTACAGTATTGATGGAGTTTCTCCTAAATGGTGGCACTTCCTGTTGTACAGGAAGTAGATACCAATTTTGTTAATTTAAGTAGAACGCCCTCAATATTATTCAGTTTTTGGGGATAAACTAAGAAACGGTTAGACATACATTTAGGAAGATATACATGGTTTATATTTAAATGTGCAAGTTTGTAGTTACTCCCGGTACAACAGGAAGTGAATGTTGGATCCTTTGGCGTAGCAAATGTCTACTACAGAGTTTTTACAATTAGGTAAATCCGGAGTTATCTGAGAATCTCTAGAAATGCTAAAATGGCTAGTACTTCTAAAGTTACGACTGCTAAAAATTGACCTGGCATACTTCTTGTTAAATTTGGCATCTAAATAATATTTTATGTGAATAATGAAGTCAAACAAACTAAATTTGTATAGAAAGTCAGACAATGCAGGCTATCATTTCGAACAAAATGCAAACAAAGTTCTTATCAACCTGAGGTGATATTTATTAATGTTAGTCAAACATACCTCGTTTCGGTCATACCATCAAGGCACGTAGTCACTCACCTGCAAGAAATAAAATACAATTAATACATTATCATAAAATAATGATTATGCAAATATATGTCAAAATAATATTATAAATGGTAGTTAAATAATATGATATACACCACATATGATTGACTATACATTGAAATATATATGAGTATTTCCTTAACGTCCGGCAACGCTGTCAAAATAAAACCGATGTAATGTCTGGATCACAGAACGGTACATAAGAGAGCGTAATATAAGTCTTAATTTAATATGAAAATAAATAACAAAGTGTAGCGGCTTTTCGAAGAAAGAATCACTGACATCACGACATATATTTTTGTAATTTTTACAAATGCATTAGAAACATGCGTCATTCATATCCATATGTTAATGTGTCTGTAGCCTCTCTGAACTTGATGAAGAAAATGATTCACCTCCATACCCCTTGATTACGTTTTTCGAGGTAGCCGTCATTTTACTTCTGACGCCGCTGGGCGAAGAAGTATGTATTGTAATCGCGAACAATTTCGAAAATGAGGTCTTGTGTTTTTTAGATGTTATGTCTAAGTCTAAGTCTAAGTTTCACACAAGGTTACTACTATGACAAGGACGAAAACTCTTTGAAGTTTCTCAAACTTCGTTTTTTCAGAAAAATGCTTGTGGGGGTTGAAATTTTGGGGTTGGAAGAGGTCATATGAAAATTTGTTGATATAAGTATATTTATACGCCTCCAACCCCGGTGCTTCTATGCACCTATTAGCATATTTTACACATCATAGATTTTCTCGTACATTTTTCTTTAAAACTTGTTTTCGATACACGAATTCCTGCTCATCGCCCGGCGAGCCGGTCTGGCCGACTAATCTATCGCGGTAATCAGTGCAAAAAATATATTCGGAGCGTGAATGAACAACAACTCGCTGCAGCTTTGCCGCGCAGATGTGGAAAGGGACAACGTTGCCAGATGGACAGAAACTATCGGTAAGGCAGGGAAAGAATGTCTATAGTAATAATAACAAGTTTATTCACGTAACATACAAATATAACTAAAACTAACATAGGTACGTATATATATATATATATATATATATATATATATGGGCCTATTTGACTGACTTGGTCCGTTTAATTTTTCGGTTGTACATGTTTGTAACTGACCTTTTTCTGAGAGGATTTAAATTACGCTGAACTTGATCGTTTATGAACTGAAGCTTTAAATGTAGAAACATGCATTGTGTCAGAAGTTCTCAAGCTCACTCTTATTTTTAACGCTATTTAGGTTCTTGAGCATCTTAGGACGTGGTATTTCTCGAAACGAATTCCAAATATGCCCTCCAAAAAAGGAACGGTGAAAATCATCGGAACAAAAGTTTTAATTTTTTGTGCAAGTGCTCTTGAATCTTTGAAAATGATGACCTTGGTTCACTCTTTTTCAAGAACGTACAGTCTGTGAAAGGCCAAAGTTTTGCTAATTTTGGCCTAACAGACAAGGTTAAAAATAGTTTTAAAACAAAGTAATCTCAAAACACTTTTCGGGGTCCTGTAAAGCAAGGTTTTAAATTTAATTTATATACTTGTTGACATATTGAAAAATTAGGAATCGTTAAACGAGTTTTTAAGCATTGAATATACACATTTTTAGAACTCTTTTGTTTGGAATAATAAAAAAAAACTTAAATCACTCCTGATTTCAGGACACTCTAATTTTTAGAGTATTCCAGAGACGTATTTTCGTTCTCTCCCAAGCAACAAAAATAAACATTTTCCCTTTAATCAAGCGGAGCCATCTAATTGGGGCGGCAATCAAACCTCAATTTCATTTGCGACTATGATGATCTCTCCGCCATTATTGTTTTATTCACCTTCGGGCCCTTTCTACTACCTGCCAGTCGATTAGAATCTCCGCTGCGCGAGGGATCCCTAAAGAAGGGGAGCAGAGGAAGGGGGATCCGACCTAAAAGACCAGATCGTCTGCTGTTTTCTCGGAAACGACCGAGAGGCGGGGTTCTCAAAACAGGCCCCCGTAACATCCTGAAATGCCATTAGTCCTTAAAGAGGAACGACGGTTTACAAGGAAATAGTTGGCCTGTTTAATGAAGCAGTGTGAGGTGCTCTTTAAGGACTTTGAAAATAAATCAATGTCATAGTCCAGCACTGTTGCAGATAAATATTGTTTTCTTTTCAAGTGACAAGTATCAACTTACGAGAGGGATGTGAAAGAAAACTGGCTACATGATTCCGGCGAATGTTAGGTTGTCAGTTGTTCTTTAAAACAAGAAAATTGCGTAAAAAATGTTGTTAAATGTACGAATTTCAATTACGTGTTTTTTTTTTTCAACAAACGTTGACACTAGGATAAACTGATCATCCTTGAAAAACGCATTTAGGTTTCACTTATTATGCCTTTGCACAAAGTTCTAACCACATCATTTGTCGTGGGGTGCACTCATCCACTCAAGAGGTATTCGTTCCGTGAATACGTTAACCAAAAGACATCATTCTTCCATAAGTGCTTCACTTGTAATGTCATTATACACAAAGCATTACCGCCGCCTGTGAAGCTTCCTAACATCAACGATTTCAAAAACAAGTTAAGAAAATTATTTTTGAACAAGAAATTTAAAGACAATCTCACACCTCATTTCTCTAAATTATGAACATGAACTATGCAGGTCGTTTTAAAACATAATTTTGGTAACATAGGCGGATTTATGTGATATTTATATAATAATGCTATTAAGTAGGTGTACATGGTGTTCGAACGAAGAT